CTGTATCAAATAATGTAGCAATAGAAGCAGATAATGTGAACAAACAGTTCATTTAGTGCACACTTTATAAAGTACAAGAGAACAAGCCCTGCTCTGAGAAGCCTGCTGTCTAAAATATGATATGGGAAAACTCACAGTGAAGAGGGGAATTCAGACTGTGCTGAATCAGAAAAATGCAGATTTTTTTTTTGCTTGGTCGCAGTAGTGTACGTGGATTAAAGATTATACCTTTATTAAGAAGTCACACTCACATTTTCCCACTGTTAATTTAACAAGCTATATACATATTGGTAAATATACCTCCCTAAAAGTTTGATGTTGTTGAATGGAAATCTTTGATTATGGGAGTAATCAAGGTGCATTCAAGGCGGCTTATTTAAAGCAGTGGTTCCCTAGCTTTTATTGACCAGGGCCCACTTTGACCAGGGGCCACTTGACTAAGGACCATTTTGAGCAGGGACCACTTTGACCAGAGAACACTTTGACCAGGGACCACTTTGGCCAGAGACCACTCTCTGATAATTATCACCAAAAGGGGAGGGGCTTGTCAGTTCTGCGGAAAGGAGCAGAAATAAAATAAAATAAAGAGGAAGGAGGTTTGTGGACTGTATTTTCGTTCTCGTGGTCCACTGCTGGGCCGCAGCCCACAGGTTAAGAGCCACTGATTTAAGGCTTTACTTGCAAATTAGGTTTGTTTAAATATTTATTAATATTAAGTTGTAGCTAATTTATATCATAGTAAGGAAAAATGAAGGCAAAGAAAATAACCTATCCAATTACTGTGAACAAATCTTGTTGGTTTCCCCTTTAATAATAGCCTTAGCGTCAACATCAAAACAAAATTACTTGAAGATAATAACAACGAAAGAATGCTTAAATTGCTGAGACTATGTATACTTTATTCTTCATGAATCATCGTAAAATGTTTAATACAACTTGCATTGACTAAACTAGTATTGTATTGGAGGTCATCATATTTTGACCAGCTTTGGTGTTGCACTAGCATTATATCCAGAGCTTAATAAAACCAAAACGTCGTTACTACCAATGTTGTTGCTTTCTCTGCCAGCTCTAAAGTGCTGTGAGGTCAAGAGACAATCCTCTGCTCTTTTCTTTACCTCCAGGTTTGGAGTAGGAGGGGAATTCTGCAGAATGTAAATACAAGTTAATCCCCCCCAAATATAGCTCTGTCAAGCCCTGAAAAAGGTCACTAGTTCCTCCTCTGTCTCATGAGGACAAAGGCACTCAAAAACACTCCTTCTGTGGAAACATAGAAACAAGCTGACACATGTCTTCCTGACCTCAAGATATGAGTCAATGAAGGAAAAGAGAGTCTTGTTATGGTTTTATGTTTGTGTTCAGCAAGCGGGCTTGGGACTGAACAAATGAAATAAGATCAACTCTACCACACCAGGGCTTGAAGGAAGCCTTGTGGAGATTATACTTGCAATGCAGTGATCCAAACAATTGTGTTAGCAGTATGGAGCAGAGTTAGCTTGTGCTATCCTGATCTCCTCTTGTGTGTTTCTTGATGATGGTAGGGATTTTAATACTCTTCTCCTCTCTCCAACCCCCAGAGAGCTGATGAGAGATTGTGTTGATGCCTTCAATCTCCCATTAGGACTACAGCTAAGGCAAGATTTGAGATAGATATTAATTTAAACACATTGCCGAGACTTCCTTGTGCAACTCTTCCCCTGTTTTACTTTTTCATTCTTTGCAATGCTATGCTATTGACAATTAACTTTAGTTTTTAGAAAAAGACATACCTACAGGTTAACTCTTTAAAAGGTGGAAGCCAAACAGAAAACAGCTCCAGCAGACAAAAGTCCTTTGTCCCACCCTGGTCATTCCACAGATATATAAACCCATTTTCCTACTTCCAACAGACCTCACTACCTCTGAGGATGCTTGCCATAGATGCAGGTGAAACGTCAGGAGAAAATGCCTCTAGAACATGGCCATATAGCCCAAAAAAACTTACAACAACCCAAACAGAAAACATAAATATAAAATTAAGTTGAGTAGTCTATTCTACCAATATATATTGACAATAAATAAATTATAAACATTAATCTTTTAATGTTTTCAGTTCCTCAGAAATTTATTTTTCATAATATAAACACTGTAATGTCCCCTTTAAGTTGAAGCCTAAATCTGTTGAAGATCTACATAGCGATGTTTAGAATCAAAGTTTCAACATTCCAGAAAACTCCTGGACCCTACTATATACAAAAAACTCAAGCAAGACCCAACTGCCAAAATAACCAAGAAAACCAACACCCTGATTAAGAACTCCTCCATAAACTTTGACATACGACAACAGCTATGTAAATCGGAAGCCCATCCACCCAGGCTTTATGGACTCCCAAAAATCCATAAGGACTCCACCCCACTCAGACCCATCGTGAGTGCCATTGGATCCCCCACATATGACCTAGCAAAATTTCTTGCTGCACAGTTACAAAGCCATATTGGTCTCACTACACACTACATCAAGGACTCAGCCCACTTCATAGAAAAAATCAGCAATCTCAAGCTAAATACAAACGACAAACTGATCAGCTTCGATGTGGTATCTCTATTTACCATGGTCCCGGTAGCAGACACCATGGCACTCATCAACCAGAGGTTCCCAGAAGACATCATGGCTCTGTTTCACCATTGCCTTACCACCAGTTACTTTCAGTGGGACAATGAATTCTACGAACAGAAAGATGGAGTAGCTATGGGGAGCCCTCTCAGCCCGGTCATAGCTAACTTCTACATGGAACACTTTGAAGAACAAGCCCTGGAAACAGCAACCAAAAAGCCCACGATATGGTTCAGATATGTGGATGACACCTTCACCATTTGGAGCCATGGAGAAGAAGAACTCAACAGGTTCCTGGACCATCTTAACAGCATCCACCCAAACATCCAGTTCACCATGGAAAACGAAAATGAAGGAAGACTGCCTTTTCTAGATGTCCTAGTCATCCGCAAACCAGATCAACAATTGGGTCACACCGTCTACAGAAAACCCACACACACAGATAGATATCTACATAAAAACTCCAACCATCACCCAAGTCAAAAAAGAAGCACCATTAAAGCCTTGGCAGACCGTGCAAAAAGAATCTGCGAACCCCACCTCCTCCAAGATGAACTGAACCACCGCAACTGGGCTCTCCAGGCCAATGGATACTCCACCTCAGACATCAGAAGAGCTGCAAGACCAAGAACAAGCCACGAGAGTAAAGATGAAGATCCACCCAGAGGAAAAGTGTTCCTGCCATACATCAAGGGAACCACTGACCTCATAGGGAAGCTGATGAGGAAACACAACATACAAACTATCTACAAACCCACCAAGAAAATCCAACAAATGCTACGTTCAGCAAAGGACAAGAGGGATCCTCTCACCTCTGCAGGAGTCTACCGTATACCATGCAGCTGTGGACAAGTCTACATAGGGACCACCAAACGCAGCGCCCAGACACGCATCAAGGAACATGAAAGGCACTGCAGACTACTTCAACCAAAGAAGTCAGCCATAGCAGAGCACCTGATGAACCAGCCTGGACACAGCATATTATTTGAGAACACAGAAATGCTGGACCACACCAACAACCACCATGTCAGACTACACAGAGAAGCCATTGAAATCCACAAGCATTTGGACAATTTCAACAGAAAGGAAGAGACCATGAAAATGAACAAAATCTGGCTACCAGTATTAAAAAACTCTAAAATTATAACAGCTAAACAACAGAGAGGAAAAAACCAGGCACAGATTAACACCTCCCAGCAACAGATTTTCCCAGACTCAGGCAGGCCTTCAAATGCTAATGAAGGTGATCAGCTAAACATTCACACCTAACTGCAGCAGGGAGAGCTCCTTGCCCCACCCCAGCCATTCCACAGATATATAAACCCATTTTCCTACTTCCAACAGACCTCACAACCTCTGAGGATGCTTGCCATAGATGCAGGCGAAACGTCAGGAGAAATGCATCTAGAACATGGCTCTATAGCCCGAAAAAACCCACAAGAACCTATACTTGTTTCGTTTTTCCTTTTCTGCAAGAGTCCCTATAATTCTTGTTCTCTGCCCACTCAAGTCACACAAGCCATATGAAATTTTGGTACTGTTCCATTATCCAGGCAGAGGCTTCAGACCGGGTCATGGAACCGAGACAGTCTTGGTCTCCTTAGTGGATGATCTACACAGGGAACTTGACAGGGGGAGTGTGTCCCTGTTGGTTCTCTTGGACCTCTTTGCGTCCTTCGATAACTTTGTATCCTTCTGGAGCCCCTTGTGGGAATGGGACTTGGTGGTACTATCTTGCAGTGTCTCCGGTCCTTCTTGGACGATTGCTCCTGAAAGATGTTGTAGGGGACACCTGCTCAGCCTCATAATCCTTGTCCTGTGGGGTCCTACAGGGCTTGTATTGTCCCCCATATTTAACATCTACATGAAACTAATGGGAGAAATCATCTGGAATTTTGAAGTTTGATGCCATCTGTACGCAGATGACATCCAACTCTTGACTTTTCCACCAACTCCTAAGAAGACTGTCCAGGTCCTGAATTGGTGCCTGGCAGCTGTGATGATCTGGATGAGGGCAAACAAATTGAAATTTTATTAGGTTCTTCTCTGAAAAGTATGAGAAAGGTTTCTGAGAATGAAAGAGATATGAACTGTAAGCCTTTGGCATGCATAGTGGAAATGGTGTACACTTTAGGTTACTTTGAGCATGTGGTGATGACAGTTACCTCCTGCTTTATTGTTCTTGCATGTTATTATTATGCAAGTACAGTACCATATTTTGATTCAATTTGAAAATATCTGACTTCTTGAATTAGTCTTATCTTACTATGGATTCATGTAACATTGAACAGTATGCGATTTCTGTACCAAAGCATTTCAGAAAATTCATCACACTGGTATTTAGAAAAATGAACATATGATTAAATTAGGAAATTTAAGCTCTTCATCTATCTTTTTCCCACTTTAGGGTCACGATGAAGAAGCTGTTGTGGATACAGGTAAAATTAGCTCTACAATCACCACAAATTTTGAGAAAGAAGAACTTGAAAGTAAGTTTTTTTATTCCATTAGTAGTATTTTTCAAGTATGTAAAAGGAACATAAAATAAGAATTCTAATCCCCCTTTTGCTGTGTTAAGTAAGGAGATTGTGATTACTTTTGTAACATTTACACTGATAAATTTTCACTGATGCAATTAAGAGACATGATTTATGTAGTGCAGGGGCTCTCAAACTTTTTCAGCCATAGAGCCCATTTTAAAGCAAAGGTTTCTTGTGGAGCCCTAATAAATGTTATGTTATGTTATATTATATTATTGTATATAATGTATATATTTCAGCCATGAGCAGATTTTTGGACACAGAGGCTGCATTGCATTTTAAAATTTGACAGATGTGTTGGGCCAGTGGCAGATGGATAGAAAGTGTTTGTGTGAAGTAATTGAAAAAAATGATCAAATTGATATGCATAGTTTTCATATCTCATTTCAAAAATTGAAAGAAAGAATAATACAATATTTAAAATAAATAGCAATTTTAGCCAATATAAACTTAACAGTATTTCAAAGGAAGACCCCAGGGGGCATCCAGTCTAACCCCTTCTGCCATGCAGTAAAAGCACAATCAAAGCATCCCCAACAGATGACCACTGTAAGAATAATAATAATAATAATAATAATAATAATAATAATAATAGGAACAACCCCAGGACCATCCAGTCCAACTCCCTTCTACCAAGCCTTAATAGCACAATCAAAACATCCCCTGAACGTTAGGAGGGAAATAGAGTACTGGAAACAAGAAAGACGATGGGGAAAATGTCTGTGTTGTGGGAAGACAATCCTGCCATCTTGCGCTCTTGGAGCAGGAGGAGAAAAAGGAAAGAGGAGGGAAGCTTGATGTGTGCTCTTGGAGCAGGAGGAAGGAAGAGGAGGAGGAGGGAAGCAGCATGGCGATGCAACCATGCACTCTTGGAGCAGGAGGAGGAGGAGGAGGGAAGCTTGACATGCTCTCTTGAAGAATGAGGAGGAGGGAAGCATGGAGCCTCTCAGTATGTCTCACAGATCCTCAAGGGCACCACGGAACACACTGGTAGAACTGCTACTGTAGTGAATCAAAATATAGTTTGTCACACATCTCCTCAAAATGCAACTTGCCACCTGGCATTGCATAAAATCAGGACAGTCCCTTTCCAGCTCCAAACCCATTTTGCTTCAAAGTGAAGTCAGAGTTTTATGTTCTGGTGTTAGGTTCTAGAACAAGCAATTATGACTTGAGAATATAACAGTGAAATAAATCCAAGCATTCTGCTCTGTCTTAGAACTGGAAAGGTGGACTGGGAACATCCTTGCGGTTGTGTTGTGCTTTGCTTATAGAGTTGTTAAAAGATGCTAGCTAGGGTAGCTACTAATGTATTCCTTTTTCTTTGATTTGCTGAACATTTGGAAAATGTTTGTCACTAATAAACATGTGAATCCTATTAAATAAACCATATACAATTAAATTTGATTAAAGAAGGATGTTATGGAAGGCTAGAGTTGAGATTTTGTGTGGCTATATTTTTGAAAAGCCCAACAGCAGATGGATGCATAACACAAGATTATATGCTGATACCTTTGCCACGAGGGCCCTCCCATGAGAAAATGAGGGATCATTCTAGCTATCTGTGGTCATTTTATTGGACTCTAAATAATCTCTGCCTTCTGGTAGGAGGAGTCTCTGAAATAGGGATGGGCAAAGTGAAGTCTTCCAGATGTTCAGATACATAGCCCCATTAGTCTGGAATTTAAGTATGCAAAGGGATTTTGTAACAGAAAGACATTGATAGCGTAAGCATTCATAGACTTTAATGTACTTCCTCAGATGCAGTGATATTGATGTACAATCCCAGATAATACAGGCAGTGATGAGAGATACTGGAAGTTTCCTCCAGTAGCACATGGAGAGCTGCTTTATGTCCACCACTGTTCTAGATGTCTAGATCAATAACACGCTCACACTTCTTTCTGTCTATTCTGGCCCCTTATAATAAGAATCGAGCCTCATTGCTTCTGACCAGCACTTTCATGAAACAGCTAGGAGCCCCCGGAGGTGCAGTGGGTTAATTTATTTATTTACTTCACTTGTATACCACTCTTCTCAGCCCTCAGGCGACTCAGAGCGGTTAACAACCAATTCAACAGTGCAAAACAGATCATTACTCAATTAAAACAGCAGTATCAATTAAATCACATCAAAAATTCACATCAAAACATCAATACAACAATACAACAAAATAAACCCCTGTGCCGGCAGGACTGAAGACCAACAGGTTGCAGGTTCAAATCCGGGGAGAGCGCAGATGAGCTCCCTCTATCAGCTCCAGCTCTCCATGCAGGGACATGAGAGAAGTCTCCCACAAGGGTTGTAAAACATCCCGGCATCTCCTGGGCAACGTCCTTGCAGACGGCCAATTCTCTCACACCAGAAGCAACTTGCAGTTTCTCAAGTTGCTCCTGACACAACAAAAAAAATGAAACAGCTGGACAGGAGCAATTGAGCTTGACACTTACAAAAATATGCAGATATCTCATTTAGGTACTTGCATATCTCTGTACCTTCATCTATAAAGTTAGAGATATTACAACTGCTTCTTGAGAGTTTCCTGAGTGGAAAGAGTCTAGGTGGAGAGGAGTAAAAGAAGGCTTAACATTTGAGAATTGGATACTTCTCCAAAAACTCCTGTGACAATGAGGAAATGGATAACTTTCAGAGGAGCTTCCTTTTTCTGCTGGGAGGATCGCCTGAAAGAGGCCACAATCTGCATATGAAAAGGGCATGAAAATGTTCTGCTTTTTCAAGTAGCTTTAACCACCAGGAAGTGGTACAGTTTTGCTGATAGTAAAATAGTTGTAAAGTCTGCAGCTATTGTGTAACTAAGACAGACACAGTTGTGGCTACTTTGGTGTTGTTTTACATGTTTATATATGCTTTATGCATGTCATCTTAGGAGACAATAATGAAAAGGGGTCTATAGTAATGAGGAATGTGTAGAAGCATGTCGTAGCCTTATAATGTGAAGTCCCACAATAACCTTCAGTTGGTCTTGTGACGTGACAGCAACATAGAAATAAGTTTTAAATGTAATTTCATTTGTATATGAACTCCTCATCTCCTTGCCCTCTTAATTTTTTTACAGATAGTTGTGGGAAAGGGAGTTAATTGATTAGAGAGAGAATCATTTAAAAGGGAGCACATCATATCCACAGAAATAAGACTAGTTAAAGTGGCTTGTACTGTAGCATACAGATGACAAGTGAAACTTGTATTTAAAAAAAGAACTTGGCACTGGCCACTTTATAATGATGAAGGTCTTAGTGGGAGGAAGATGGTGATGCTATTTTGTTCAGTAAGTGGGGTTTTTCAGCACTTGGTTATGTTATGAAACCTGTCTTGTGACCACATCCTTGAAAAATATGACTTGTACCATCTGGTGTAGTTTAGCAGTGAAAAAATGCATTTAAACTGCAAGTGGTAAAAATATTATAGGTGTTTTAGCATGGATTTCTGCTCTTGACAGGACCCCCCCCCCCTTTATACTGTGTAAGATGCTCCACAATTAGACTAAAGAAATAATTAGGAATTGTTTAGGAATAAGTAGTTAAATTAACAAATCATAGCCAACCAGGATCTTTAGACCCACTTCTTCAAGTATATAAGACTAAGGTTACCCCATGCTCATAAACGGAGCTGAAGTTTGGGACCAAAATCAGATACCATTATTAGAGCAATCACAATCACAGCACCTGCAAAGTTTTCTGGGATTGGACAAAAGGGACCCAGCTTGCCGCAGCAAGAGCAGAATTGGGAGTTCAGTGTTCCCTCACTTATCGCGGGGGTTATGTTCCAGGACCACCCGTGATAAAGAACAACCACGATATAGGGGCACTATGTATGAAATGCCTTGCCCAACTGCGTGGCGGGAAGTCTCTCGCCGCATGGCCAGCTGGCCAACCGGAGTTCTGGATTTCCTTTCTTTTATCCAAATCTCCTAGAAGAACTAGATCCAAAAATGGTTGCACAATGAATACTGGATGTAGAAGCTCAGGAAGATATTCCGACCCTCAGTAAAGCTGGCTCATTGAGATGGCTAAGTAAATTTAAACATACTTTTCAAACAGCCCAATATCTAAAGACAGAAATGCCTGAATACATCAGGAGGGTAGTTACCAGAACTAGATTTGAACAGCTGGATACAATGGTCAAACATGGAAGGTTTAACCAAGTTCCATATAATGAACGATTTTGTGTCTGTGGAGTGTCAGAGGTAGAAGATATTACACATGTACTGTTTCGTTGTAATTTGTACAAGAAAGAGAGAAACCAATACCTCGGGCCATACAGTATAGAAAAACACACTGGGATCTGTACATTAAAACTACATTTTAATACATTAGTTTTAATACATTTAAAACATACTAACTGAAACAGGCATGATTGTTTCCTGGTAAATTGTAAACTTGTATTGATTCATTTGCCAAAATTATTTTTTATTTGTTTTAAAATCTTAGATTAAAAATTGGTGAAATATCTAGATCGTTTCTTTAAAAAATGTTGATAGTATGCACAAAGCAACGGACTCAGAATTTCTTTAGAAGTGCACTTGATATTTTAAAACCCACTAAATCACAAGAGTGTCATGCTGTGAGATCTGAGCAATAGTATGGTAAATAGAATAAGCAGTGGGCTTCTTTTAAAGAAATTTTAAAATGACACCACTAATGAACTTAACTATTAAAAACCATTTGTGGATTTCATCAACTAAGCTTGGATAAAGTCATGTCTCATTAAACTAAACAACTATCTTTGAAGCGGTGTGTACTAAAGTTAGTATCCTGCACTTTATTAATGCTGTTGAGGATTGGTTTAAGCTAATTCTGTAACAAGCTTTGTTTGGGATCAGTATGTGCAGCCATTCTGCAAGTGGGATTTTTGAAGGTCATTTATTGATTCAGTTGTTTCCTTTGTAATATAAATATTGCAAAATGTCATGCAGTTATTCAAAATATTTTTGCACAGGCACAATAGCCGTTGTATACCTTCTTATGGGCATGCACTTGGACTGCTTTTTGGATGATCATTCTGTTGCTTAATAAACCATAGAAGCTTTTTTTAGCCAATTTGTGTAGGCCTTTCTTTCTCTGTATGCTTCATTGAAATCCAGGATCTAGTTAAGCACAATATCTCATTTCACCTGAACCTGACCGAATGACTGCCAGTTTTGGAATAGATCAGAATCTTAAACTGAGTTTTGAAAAGGAACAAAGACAGACATGAATACGATTGACAGATTTTTGGGGGAGGGCAATATTCCTGACCAGGACATCAGGGCTGCACAGAAATACAGAATGTACTAACTTGAAAAGCACATATTTTAATGTTTAAACAGTTCAGGGGATACCTTGGTCCTATGAAAAAGTGCATTTGTAATCCTGGAAGCTGCTAGATGAGGCAGCTCACCTTTTCCTTGTCTTTTGGCCAGGATAAAAGGCCTTGGAGGTCTTAGTTGGGAAGAAGGCGATGATGATATTTAGTAATTTATTTGAAAGTTGGCTTCTGGTAATATCATGGAAAAAAGATGACTTGTACCAGCTGTTCTTTCAGGATATACAGTATATTCTGGCGTATAAGACTACTTTTTAACCCAAGAAAATCTTCTCAAAAGTCAGGGGTCGTCTTATATGCGGGTGTAGTCTTATGCATGGGAGTCATCTTAATTCTATATTTTAACTGGAAAAGTTGGGGGTCGTCTTATATGCCCAGTCGTCTTATATGCCGGAATATACGGTAGTTCTGTGGCACATTTAGACGTGGATGTGGTTGGTTATAAAAACAGATTAACAGAGCCCAGAACTCTTTCCCCATCCCAATCCAGGATTCCAACTTGTTTGAAAGCTGATAGCCATAATTTCTGGTTCAAATAGAATAGGATTCTTCTGCATTGCATTGAGGTGCACAGTTAAGAATAAATAGGAGTTGTGTGAAGAAAAATGTCTTCTTCACCAATATATGATCACAATGTAACCATCATATCATTCAAGCAGACTTTCTCCTTTTGGAAAAAAAAAACACTCACAAAGCTTCTCTTTCGCCTTTAGCTTCCCTTCCAGTGATGATCATCTTTCTTTTATCTGCAGGTGTGGTTAAGCTTGCATAGACAGAATATTTCTATAGTATTCCTCTACTAGTGGACTTGTGAAAATAATTTTATCCTTTTCTGGAAGCCTTTTACATAAAATGCAGTATTACTCAACACTGTTGAAAACATTGAAAAATTTAAAACCAGAAATGGACTTGGACTGTTTGTGCGTGCAGATGGGGTTGCATTGGAGGGTGCTGAGCCTATATATATATATATATATATATATATATATATACACATACACACACACACACACACACACACACACACACACACACACATATACACACACACACACATTGTCAATTCTTCTTTAGATAGTTGATATGAATTTTCCAGACCAGGAAGTATTGAAGTTAATCAGTAAACCAATTACTTGCTGTCTGACCAGCACCTTCTTTATTAAGGAAACTAGACTAACATGTTGCCTACCTTTTTGGGGTCAAGGCCACAGAGCTGTGTATATTGGTGTGCACGTTCCCTTTGGGAAACAAGGTCGACGACGTCATAAACATCGTGGACATAAACATCATAGAAGAAGAAGAGAAAAGGAAACTGATAGAGAAGATGGGCGAGATTCTCCCTCTTATGGTAAGAGGTTTGGTTGGTACTTTATTTTTAAATAATATTTTCTTAAGTGGTGAAGATTTTAAATCCAGTTTTTGCCTCTCACTATATTTTTGAGAGACCTGAAATTTTTAATTTGATACCATGTGGTATTTGTTTGTTGTCTTTCAGCCTGCTAGATATACAGTAGATAAAACATTATTTGAAACATTAAATATAGATAAACAAAACAGAAAGAAAACAGATTACAGGCAGTCCCAGAGTTACAAAAATCTGACTTACAAATGATTCCTAGTTAAGAATGGGACTGAGATAACAGGAAGTGAGAGGAATCTACCACTAGGAAGGCAAATTCACTCTTGGAAGAGTTATCATGGGGAAAAGGTGGTGCCATTGAAGCTTTTTGGGATAGAAAGTGTGGTGAATTTTTCTGAATAAGGACACAGAAAACAATACAATACAAAAACTTTATTACAATCACTGACCAGCACAAAGTGGGGCACAAGCGCCCTGGGAGGGGACGCACAGCCCCCCAGTGAAGCTGTTATTAAAAAGCAGATTAGAAAACAGTTTAAAAACACAATTTAAAACACAGGTTATTGTAACAGGTATAGAACCGAGCCGGGGGGGGGGGGATTGATAGGAGGGGCCAAAACACTGGGGGGTGGGCACTAAAGGGGAAGTGAGAGGCACTGCTCTGAAACTAAGATGCAGTCCCTAGGGCCATCTTACCAAAGCGGTCAAAACTGACAAAGGCGTCAAGCAAGGGTGCATTTTGGCCTCACTATTATTCAATTTTCTGTATTAAGTCTATGATGGAACACCTAAACAACTTGGACTTCCACCCTCTGTTATAAAACACAGAAAGCAAAACAAACACTACAAACAACCCTTCTCTATGCTATCTGGCTGGAGTTACACTTTAAAATGTACCTGTTCTGACTTACAAACAAATGGAACTTAAGAACAAACCTACAGAACCTATCTTGTTTGTAACTTGGGGGCTGGCTGTATAACTATGTCTTTGAATACAGTTTTTAAACCCCATATACAAGATAGAGAAAGCACCCTTGGTTTTATGATATGTTTAGGTGACATGAAGTTTACTTTAATGCTTTAGTTTCTTTGGTTTTAATACTTCGGTTCTATGACCTGTCCTGATGAAAAGATAAAGGCTTCATATTGTTGAGTCCCAATCCAAGGAGTCTCAATGCTTAAGTATTGGTTAGAGAAAGGTTAAATATGTGTTATAGATTATACAGGAATATTGGGCTATAAATGTGCAGGAATGAACTTGGACTTTTTATGCCACCTACACATATTGTGTATTACCATGATGAGCCAAACACTAAGCCTATATTTGCTTGCATGAGGAAGTCCTGGTCATTGGACAAATGTGGAAGACAGTTCCCATAGATAAGGCAATTGTATTAAATGGACCTTAATTGCATGCTTTTGCTTTAGTAAGTGTTTTTATTTTTAATTATCTGTTTCATGAAATGTTGCAATGCATCAAGACCACCTGGGATATGGTGAGCTAATCATTGCATTAAAGACTCTTAAGTGTGGTTTTTTGGAAGAAAGTAACAGCGTCAGTTGTATTTATAACCCAGCACGAACAATTGTAATATTGTGATTAGTTCTATCATAAAATGAATAAAAATTTAAATTTTTACAAATAAATCTCTCCATTTAAATTTTATGAAGACACGCCATCTCAGAGGGTACAGTTTATTCTGGGTACTGAAGATGATGATGAAGAACACATTCCTCATGATTTGTTCACTGAAATGGATGAACTTTGTTTTAGAGAAGGAGAAGAATATGAATGGAAAGAAACTGCCAGGTAACTTATATGTAGTTCCTTTTCCTGGTCACATAAAATATAAATTTGCATTGAGATAACATAATTGGTAGAAATGTTTTGAAAGTGCTTGACTCATTCCCCTAAAGCCAGGGGTTTTGAAACTTTTTAAACAGAGGCCCAGTCCTTTGTCCCTTGGACTATTGAGGGACTGGATTATAGTTTGAAAACAATGAAAATAACCTGTGCATACTTCACATATCTTATATGTAGTGCAAAATATATGAAAGAACAATACAATATTTAAAATGACGACCAATTTTAACTAACTTACCAGTAGGAAATGTTGGCCTGCTTTTGGCTGATAGTAAAGTTAATTAAGGTTGGTATTGTTTTATGCCTTCAAGTCATTTCAGACTAAATCTAAACTTAGGGCGGGGCCAGGTAAATAAACCTGGAGGGCCGCATCCTTCCCGAAGGCCTTAGTTTGGGAACCCCTGCTTTAGGTTTTTCTTCTATCTGTATGATCAATGATACTGGTTCTTGTAAGTAGTATATTTTATGTAAGAGTTTTATATGTCTCTGTTGATGAGGTAATTCGCAGAATAGCAGCAGTCAGATTATGATTGTAATCCTTGCAAGGATATTGTGTAAAGCAATGTGAGAGCCTTTTTGGTTTAAAAACTGGGAAGGAAGGACGGACGGACAGACGGACGGACAGACAGACAGACAGACAGACAGACAGACAGACAGACAGACAGAACATCGTATTCCTATCCTTACTCTTTTTGAGCTTTGAGTAGGCAAGTGAATCCTGGCATGTTATGTAGCATTGGAAGAAGCACTGAGGAAGGTTTTGAGAAGTGGTGACAACATGAAGAAGCATATATGAGAAGTCTCCAGATTGCTAACAATTATATTGAAATGAATGTTTGTATGTGTTTTGTGTATCTTTGTTTCAGATGGCTGAAATTTGAAGAAGATGTTGAAGATGGTGGTGAACGATGGAGTAAACCTTATGTGGCTACCCTGTCTCTCCACAGCTTGTTTGAATTGAGGAGTTGCATTTTAAATGGAACAGTCATGCTGGATATGAGAGCCAATTCACTGGATGAAATAGCAGGTTGTAGTAAATTTTAGGCTAATATAAATTTGATAAAGCTAGTAAGAATTTGTTTCATTATCATGTCCAAGGTAGAAACTAGGATAAAACAACGTAGGTACTCATACTACTGTTTTAATCAAAGTTAGTTTCCAGCTGCCCAAGTTCCATTCTGTAGACTTAGGATATATGTCTCCTGACTTCACATATTTCATTACTAGAAGACGGATGTGTTAAAGTGTCATACTTTTTACATTTCTGTTGTATACTTTATCTAGTTTATGTATCTCCTACAATTTTAATGCAAAATAATCCGCTTATTCAATATATTCTAACACAGAGACAGATCTCAACAAAACCGCATTAGAAGTTGCTAGTGATCATTAACATTCTCTCCGGGTTAGAATTAAAAACAGAGCCAACACTGTGGTTTATTAGATGGCTGTATTCCTTTTTCTTTCTTTCTGGTGCTTGCCTTGCTAGTCCAATAGTTTTATGTTTGGAGAACATAAATTTAAGGCAGGAATATGCTTCTTTTTTTTTTTTTTTTTAAATCCCTAATTTGGAAATTAAGGATTATCATAGCATAGAATGGTCCAGGTTTCTGCAACAGATCTGAAATCTCCATACATGTAATTTGGGAACTTGGCTTATTATTTCTCTGAACTGATAAAAATGTGATTCTAAATTAAGCATAGATCATTTAAAACTAAAGATAAAGCACTTTCATTGCTAGCTCACATATTTTCCTTCTTTTTTGCATCTATTAACTATAATGAGGAGAAGGCAACTTGTTCAATTAACTTAAATATATTGCAAACACACTGTATTCAAAACAAGACTCAATATTTCATATAACCCTGGTTGTGAAGGAAGATGGATAACTTATGCACTTCACTTGCCTACATGTTAAGGTGACAGTCTGCATATGGTTAGTTTTGGCAAGGAGAGTTAGATAGGTTGATGGCATCTTATCTTTGCTATGCTGGCCACAGGGACAAATCACAACTCTAGTTGACGTTTGAGTGCTAGCATTGAGTGCCAATAAGTACTAGAGCAGTGGTTCTCAACCTGTGTGTCCCCAGGTGTTTTGGCCTGTAACTCCCAGAAATCGCAGCTAGTTTGCCAGCTGTTAGGAATTCTGGAAGTTGAAGGCCAAAAAATCTGGGGACCCACAGGTTGAGAACCATTGTACGAGAGGAACTATACAAGCTGAACTTGATGTTCTTGCTTGGAATATGAAAGAATTCTTGTTGTTGCAGTGTAATTAGAATGGTAGCTTTTTGATTATAATATACCTGATAGTCCAGAGATGGTAGACCTTGGTATCTCATTATTTAACCAAAAAGAGGATATTGAGAGTCTAAATGTGGAATTTATCTTAAGAATTTATCCTATATAGATTGAAGTCGCTATACTTCTTAACTTAATGTTTCTTTTCCTTTGATAGATATGGTATTGGATAACATGATCACTTCTGGTCATTTGGATGAATCTATGAGAGAGAATGTCAGAGAGGCACTTTTGAAGAGGCACCACCATCAGAATGAAAAAAAATTCAGTAATCGGATTCCTCTTGTTCGATCTTTTGCAGATATAGGCAAGAAACATTCTGACCCTCTCTTGCTTGACAGAAATGGTGAGATAAGTTGTGGCATCCAGTTTATTTTTACTTTTAACAACATAAGGCAGAGATGTGAGAAAAGCCAGCACTTACATGAAATACATTATAAATTCCTTTGTTAAAACAGAAATGTTTCGTTTTTGTCTGTTGTTACTTGGGTTATATTTCTGCCCTTTGAGCTTGAAGAATCAAGGGCTGGGTTCATACCATTGAACACAGTCTGAATTCCTTGGTAACTGAGTTACTTTCCATAATCTTTTTGTGAAGATGAATGTGAAACCAAGACTATGGATATCCTTTAACATCTTAAGACATCTCTCTCCTCTGTTTTCCAGATTTTTCTGGTTTTGCTATCAACTTGGGTAACATAGTGACAGAATTAAAATATTTTTTTCCTTTAGGAATAATCTGTAGTGGTGAAAGGGGAAGAAAAACACATTGAGAGTGAGAGAGAGAGAGAAAGGGCCTAAAAGTTCCAATTGATTAGACCAGTTGAAGTAAGGAACTTAAATAAGTGTTGATTTACCAAGTTTTAATTGGCTCAATACATTTATTCTATGACTAACATTTATGTCATGCCCACATTGCTAGAAACACACTTTCAATAGTTAACCAAAACTCAAGCAACTAGAACTGACAAGCAACCAGCAAAAAATGACAGAGATCAAAGGAATTCTACTTTAAATATAAAACACAGTAAAACTGTTGAACTGTGTTACATTAAGTTAAGTTTGTATCTATTTTAACTGAATTTAATTATTGTTTTTCAATATGAATATCAAGTCAATATAGAGTTATGGTATAGTACAGAATGGGGTATAGTATTATTTATTCCTATTTAAATAGACACTCTCAAGCAACCAGGAACTACATTTATCTGGCATATACCAATCCCCATGGGTGTTGGTTAACTGAGAGTCTACTGTATATGTGCATAGCAGTACTGTTATAGGAAGCAAGATAGGATCATGGAATCAATGAGTTGGAAGAGATCTTGTGGGCCATCCAGTCCAACCCCCTGCCAAGAAGCAGGAAAACCACCTTCAGTGAATTCCTGACAGATAGCCATCCAGCCTCTGCTTAAAAGCCTCCAAAGAAGGAGCTTCCACCACACTCAGGGACAGAGTTCCACTGCTGAATTTCTCTCACAGTGAGGAAGTTCCTCCTAATGTTCAGGTGGAATCTCCTTTCCTGTAGCATGAAGCCATTGTTCCGTGTCCTAGTCTCCAGGGCAGCAGAAAATAGGCATTCTTTGTGAGCAGATAGTAATTAAATGTTTTTTTAATATATTTCTATCTATTGGGTTTTACATTCTAATGCCAACATATTTGGCTTTTCTGGTATGTATGTTTATTTCAGTACTGGACTTAATGACAGTTGTTGACCCAGAATTGGATAACTCTAATGAACTATCATTAGGAGCTCATAATAACTACAGAGAGTTTCTAAACCCCAATCCAATCATTTCTTACTGTATCATTGTCTGATAAACTGAGTTTGGAACTTGCTTTTTTAGGGGGAGGGAGCAATAACAGTTTGGATACTGACTGTTGATTTCATTTACATGATTGTATATCATGGGTTACTCTTCCTCATTTTGTTGAAGATTGCTTTAAGAAAGGCTTTTGTTATCTATATTACCGAGTTAAAATATACAGATTTCTTTTTGGAAACATAGCACTTAAATGTTTTTGCTCAGTTTTTTTCTGGATTTTGAGCAGTTATCTACTTTCTACTTTGCTTGGTAGATACTTGTAAACATATGCTGACTCTTTAAACATTCAGTGTTCTGCTACAGTACTCAAGACTTGCTTATCTCATCTGTAACTGAGTGATGTTTTGCTTTGATAAACGTTATTTTTTAAAAAATGTGACATAACTTTCTGCTGAATGTTTTCATCACTTTGTTTTGTCTCAGGGGAGGGCCTTTCAGCCTCCCGCCACTCTTTGCGAGCAGGTCTCTCTGCTTCACATATTTCCCTGAGAGGAGAGAATCGTTTGTCACTTCTTCTCAATTATCTTCTTCCTGGATCTCCAGCGGCCTCAAGGAGAACAACCCCTTTACCTACCCCTCAAAGCACCCCACCCTCCAGTCCTAGATGCGAACATGAGGCAACCAAAAATGTGCAGCCACCTGAGCTTCAGAGTACCGGACTTCTAGTGTCTCCTTGTAATTATGATATACCTAAAGTAATAATACATCCACCTGAGGAGGATTTAGAAGCTCAGGAAAATGTGGAGAAGACGACAGAGGATAATAGTGACATAACATCAGGCAACTATATGCACTCAAATTGTTCTTGTGTGGTGCTTTCTGCAGCTGAATCACTTCCACTGCAAAGTTTTTATCACACAGCTTTAGCACCCATGAGTTGTATCAGTCTGCTACTTGTTGCATGCTTCATTTCTTTTGCGTGATTTTTTTTGAGAACTTTATTCAGTATTTTGATATTAGATGCAAAAGTTGGCACAGAAATATTAACCCAAACATTAACACGTTGAAAGCAACTAAATATTTTGAATATTCATACATACATCTTTGTTTAATAAACAAAATGAATGCATTCAGCAAATGACTTTTGAAAGAAAAAGAAAAAAACCATGAAGAGAGGGAGATAGGTTATAAATTTTATATATTAAAGTGAGAAGCCAAATGGTGGCCTTTTCCTCTTTATATTAAAAACTCTGTAATGCCTAATAGACTAAGCATGCTGTTAGTACCAGAAAATGTCAGGGCATTCGAAAGATCATGGTCTGAAATTTCATCCTAATTCTCTACCCCAACTTTAGGTTCCTCCTATGGGGATGTAAAAAGTTGTTCTCCATTTAATTCATATAAATGTTTATCTCTTTTACAAACCTTTTGAATAGTAACAGGAAGAGGCTTCTGCAACATAAGAGGTGTTTATGCGAATTAGATGTAGACAGACTGCCTTAAGTATGCACTCCAGGTGATTCTGGTGTATTTCAGCAAGGTACTTTTTACATGGTTTTTCTGTATTGGGGAATGGCTTTTTTGCATAGGGTTGAGCAGCTGTTGCCAACATAGTAGGGAGACAAACTACTGTGAGTGGAAGCTTAACATCTTATCATATATTCTGTTTCTTTTGTGTAGCCCTCTAAGGATGGCTTATAAAGATAGGAAATAAAGTAGAAGAGGCACGCAGTGGAAATTTATTTCTCTCCTTAACATTAAGTATTTTGCTGCATTATTGATGAAACTTGAATATTGATATTACTTGACTATGCATTGGAAACTATATCTTGGAATATATCGCCTCCCTGTTACAATTTTCTCTGAGGCTTTGAAATGACATGTGACTTTGTTCCATCCTGCTGCTGATTTATATCATGTTAATTCTGAGTCACTTGATAATTTTTATTTAGTTAGTTTAGCAAAAGTATGGTCATGATAGATCTGACATTGTCTTCATAATGTATATTTGGGTCTGCATTGAGCTGAGATTTGAAACCCCACCATAAAAAAAGCAAGTCTTAAGTTTGACTGAGTACTAAAGATAATACAATAGAAAGTAGTGCAATTTAAATTCTACTTTTACAGCTTGAATATGTTAAGAACATTGCAGAGTGATCTACCTTGCACATATTCCAATTGTTGTTTCTGTTCCTTTCCTGAACATGCTGCTTCTGTTTCTTTCTACTCCCCACCCAGACATGATCTCTTCATCTAGCAATAAAGAGCAGGAATTAGTCTTCACCTAAATTTTGTTTGAATGAAGTTCCTGTAATTTTTCTCCCTGAGCATTATTCTTAGTCCTATGTGTTTGGTACTGAAGGTTGCTGGGAAAGGAATTGTATTTAGGTCAGACAATAAGATGCTGGGAAAGGCATAGTATTTAGGTCAGACAATAAGGCTTGGAAACCAATTACCATCAGACCTCCACATTTGCTGGGGTCAAGTGAAAAGTTGATTGCCTAATCACACTAGAAAACCTAGAGATTCCTAGCAAAAACATTTTATCACATTTGGACATTTCAAACCTGCAAATGTGGAGGGCTGTCAGTAAAATAAGATTATGCACTAAAGAAAGTGAATGTTGGCTTCAATTCTGCTTGTAGTTGTGTGTCTGTTTTGTGAGAAAATTCTGTCTGCTAATCCCGATGTATGATTTGATTACTTTAAATATTACTCTAGCAACACAACGTTGCTCATGGGAATAGTGTGGATCCTTGCTTAACCTTTAAAAGCTAATGTTTTAAAAACCTTCACAAACCTGTCTTTATAGTGCTAATTCATAGTCAGCCTGCTAACAGTGCTGATGATCTAAAGATGATGAACTGTTGTCTTCAATAAAATCAGTTTGCATAGAGTTCCCCTCCATAGTGCCTCGGGGACATGAACAGAAAAACTCAGACTTTAACTTGGTCACGTGATAGTGATTTCTAATGGCATATGTGGCTAAGATGAAGACTGTTCATAATGAGTCATCATAAACTTCTGCTTGAGCAAAACTGGTCTTGAATATTCAAGGAGTTCTCTTGAAAAGCAAAGAAAATGAATTGAGTTGTTAATTTCCATAGATGCATATTTGTATATATTGAATTGCTAATGTTAGGGCTGCTTTTAATTTCAGTTGGAAATTTTCTAATTTTTGAATTAGACCTTCTTTCTAAAACTCCATTCCTATGATGAATATATAACTACCAATTCAAAAAATACTATGGGGATATAAATGAGATTTTCTCTGTGTACATGAAATTACATGCACAGCTATGCAGCTCGCCCTCTTTGCCAAATGGCTTACCACTAAAATAATTAAAACATAATAAAGCCAATTAAAACTTATTTGGCTAGACTAAGTTAATTGAACTTGTTGTGTGCCTTCAGGTGAACTCTGACTAATGATAAACATATCATAGGGTTTTCTTCTAAGATGCGTTTTGCCATTGCCTTACTTTGAGTATGGCTTCGAGTGCCTGCTCTTCCCTGATGGTTTTCTTTTCAGGGAGCAATCAGAGTGTATCCTGTGTAACTTCCAAGATTAGACAAAATGTGCTACCTTAAGCAGCCTAGCAGAATTTGGGTCCCATAAAATAAAGGGAAGACTCTTTGTCCCAAATGGTTCAGCCATAACATGTCTCACATAAGTGTGAATAAGTGTGGCTGTAAGCTGCATTTGGCTCCATCCATGACAAGGATGCCAACTTAAGCCAGTTATTTTACCTCCTTTCATTGATGCTGTGCTCTCATAAAGAAGTGGGGGGCGGGACAGCTTGCTTTAAAACAGCCCCACCCCACAAATCCTTCTTTCTGAAGCATTTGAGCAATTGCTTTCTAGTGGTGGTTGGGCTTCCCTTGGAAATACGTCCTAAAGTCTGGATGCTAGTGTAGCTTACCTGCATTTCCACTGCCAAAGTTTAGGTCATTAAAAGAATGCAAGGAAGTATTTTTCATACGTGCCATTAAAATGAAAACCCTTCATGTTTCTTAGTTCTAAATGGATTGGGGCTGGAGTGGCAATAAGAAATGGTTTGAGTGGTCCTGGAGTTGATCTAACCTTGGTCAAAAATAATAATTGAAAAATCTTGTACTACCAAAGAACTTTCTCAGCAGTATGGCAGTAGCATAAATAAGATAAATAAGAAGTCATCCCTCTTAAGACTCAATAGTCTGAAAAATCATTTTGGTACAGCAAAAGCAACAATGATATAGTGTCTCTGTCCACTTTTTGGGGTTGGCTGCTCACCAAGGCCAAAAATCAGATTGGGAAATATCTGAAACAGATAATTGAAACTGTTCTATTTTTCATATTCTCTTTTTAAAAATATTTGAAGAATCTGTATTTGTTTTCTTATGAAAGGATTTAGAGGGGCTATTGGCTTTTGTATGCATTCTATATGAGACCTAGCTGCATGAAACTAAGGGGGAACTCTTTGAATTTCATGTGGTAGTGTATAATGCTATGGTTCTGCTATGAAAAACAGAAATCTTAGGAATAATTATTCATTTTGCCTCTGGAAGTTGCAATAAACTCTATTAATCCTTTTCCTATCCTGAGGCATATTAGACAATGAATAGACAGTGTAAGAATCACTGATACCTTCTAGTTCTGTTCAGACATTGCACATATGACTTAAATGAATATGTGAGAATATAAAAGCACTTCTTTTGGGTCCTGTTTCATCACTTTGCCTACATGAAAAGCAACAAAACTGAAGCAGAGAGCCTTTGTGGAGGCTCTTTTTGTGAAGCAAAATCCTAGAAAATCAGATGTTAGAATTACATGATTATGCTATAAACAGTAGGTTCTCCATTTTCATACTCATTCCTTTTTGCATAAGCAAAAAGTCAAAGAAGTGTGTAGTTGGTGCATTCCTCCCCTTGCATGCTTGCTTATCCATTGTGTAGAATACCTGTTCTAAATTGAAGCATGTGAAATACTTTTGTGAACCTGTCTTTTGTAAAGTTTCTATTAAAATGTGTGTGTTGTGTTAAATAAGGTGATGGCTCTGAATGTGAGTATCTCCAGTTCCAGTCCTACTCAGCCATGAATCTGAAGACTGCTTCATTCATGTTTGGCTGCCCACGATATTCCAAACAGTATTAACAATATTAGTAGTTATGATGTACTAGGGCAGTTAACTGTGCTTGCAGTTTGAAGACAATTGTGTGCATGTAATGAACTGCCTTCACAGGCAGGATTTTTTTTAAAAAATAGGTAAAACGCTTTAAAATAGAATAGATTTTCTGGCATCACGGGAGTGGGTAGAACTGAAGAAACACCTTTAAAGAAAACTTTGGTTTCATTATTTATGGTTTAATATGTTCTTTGGATGACATCTCAGATTCTGGTTTTTTTTTTTAAAAAAAACAAGATATTGCATTTCCTTTGTGACTAATGGATGAGACTTCAATTTAGTAGCAAACTAGGTGTTTTACCAGACATTCTAAAGTTTGTGTTCTGTTTTGTGGTTTTTCAGGAATTAAGAAATTCCTCTGATGCACGGCCCACTCACAAAGCATTGGTGGTTAGATTTATATTCTTACATTCTCTGAGAAACAAATAACATATTTTTCTTGATGCGTTTTGCAAAAGGCCATCATTTAGGCAATATCTAATTTTAACTTTTAACAAGCATTTATTATTTTTCAGAAGAAAATAACTTGTTTGTGTGACATTTTTGCTACTAATGCATCTTTTATTTATTAACTTCCACATTTGCTTCTAGAAAGCTGCCACTATCATTATGTAATGAAATATTTCTATGATGTCACATATATAAATGTGTCTGTGTATTTTCTTTGTAGGACTCCTAGCATCACCACAGTCTGCACCTGGTAATTTGGATACTGGAAAAAGTGGAGAAGTTAAATGTAGTGGAACAGGAGGAAGTAGAGAAAACAGCACTGTTGATTTTAGCAAGGTAAAATATTTTAAAACATTAACTGAAGAGATGGGTTTCTGTTTCCATTCTGAATCCAATTATGACTATTTAGTCAAAGATACAAAAAGGATGAAGTGAGTGAAAAGGTAATATGACACCTTTAAGACAACTGTTTTTTAAAATTTAGCATGAGATTTCATGGATATTCTTCTTCCGATGCAGTACAGAGTGATATAACTTGATATTGTATCTTCAAAAAGTGGATTTCTGTCTACGAAAACTCACACTACAATATAAAACCCATTACAGTAGTCTTAAAGGTGCCTCTCAAATTTCCCCACCTTTTTTATACTGCAAGAAATTAATTTGGCTAGTTCATTGGCAGCTAGCTACTATAGTTTCCAAAGGTATTCTATTGAGTGAAATGATTTATTTCTTTTACTCATGACTTACTATATTGTAACCCATTGATTGTTTGAATTATTTTGCATTCTGCCTTTTACCCAAACTGTTATTCAAGGTGACTAATGAACTTATATTTTTTCCTGGAAGAAATGAAAAGCATTCAAGGCATATATCAGTAATATATCAATGTACAGGATTAACAATAGATATTTTGTAATTCCCAGAAAAAAATGAACAAAGGCAACTCCTACAATCCCAAACACTGTGTGCTTAATGAGTGGCAAAACCAAAATAGTATTATCTTCTACAAAAGATCAATAAAGTTCTATAAACTAGTAAGATATTGGCATTGTAAATCTATTCTCTATTTTGATGCTTAGTAATCTTAAGTTGTTACTACTTTTTGAGAATAGGTACATGTTATCCCAAATGTTGAAATTTGGGAAGGAAAATAGTAGTTTTTTTTAATAGCAGTAAAAACGACAATAAAATGTAACTTTCTCACCTGCTCTCTGCTGTAGCTTCCTATGTACCAAGAACAATATTCATTTACCTATTTATTTGATTTATTTGATTCATCTATTTATTTTTCACCAAATGGAACTGAAAGCTGATATATTTGGAATGCATGAAGAGAATCCGTGTAAATTAGGAACCATTATTCCACAAGTATATATGCCTCAAAACCAATAGTAGTGCATTGGGATCTATGCCTGTAGAAAGAGTTTTGAAACTACTTTTTAGGTTGAATGTTTCAATGTGTGACATTGAAAATTAGTAGATATGACAACTGAAAAAAATACAAGCTCCTCTATATAAACAAGTTGCTCTTGGCTACAATAGCCAATATATTCCTGACTTCTCTATTTGCACTCTGATAAATTAAAGATTTCAAATGGAAATGGATCAAAATATAATAGGGTCTATTACCGCCTACTTTATAGAGTGTAGTGGGTCATACAGTATGTTAGCAAACTCCTAATGGCGCTTTAGTTAGGATTCTTGTAAAACCCCATTCGGCATATCTTGTGAGTTAGCACACTCCGTCTTCTAAGTTTCAGCATAGTAAGGAGCATTTAAAATAATACATGGGTCAGGTGGTTAGAATGTACCCCTATGAACACTGTAAGAAGTCTGCACAGTTGCATAGTGCAACCTTGTGTATTCTACTGCTGTTGATAAAAAGGACACAACTGAGTTTTCAAAGAATTGAATTCTTCAGTAGAATGGTGTAATGTGCATATTGTTTTCTCAAAATGTTGCTGAAATCTATATCTCAGTACCATTTAATGCACGATTTCTCCTTTGCGTTGAGTGTGTTACCCTGCAAAATAATAAGATTGTTTCCCTTTGTTTTCAATCAACTGAGCAAATATAACTGCTGGTTTTGAAAGTTGACTTAGGGCACCACATATGTTTGTACAGACAAAGCTAATTTGCATTATGGTTGTTTAATCATGGCCGATGCCACTATTCCTGCTCCTCTATCACAGTTTTTATGTTTTTACTTGGCCTATTCTTCTCTACACCTGCCTTGTTTCCTGTTGGGCAGGAGTCTGCCTCCTGGCACTGTAGTTGTGGCACACTTGGTGTGGGACTCAAGAGGCCAGCTGTAAGTGTTCCTTCCTAGATAGCTACATAACTGGCGTCTTAGTTTCAGTGATTTTTTTGTGTATCTGTCTGTATGTGAACCGAGTAGTTCATGTGCTGTATCATATGGTGGTGTGCTTCTGTAATTATATACATACTTTATTCAATAAATTTATGAATTAGGATTATTTATCAATAATTATGTCTCCAAAAAGGTAAACCTCCATTTACAGGTTGAATTTAGAAAATGAAATAAAACCACTATGTATATAATTACTTGTTTAGTGGCATTTATAGGTTTATATAAAAACAAATATTTCACTCTCAAGAGATAACTTTAGAAAGTAGCTATGGCTGCGTATTTAAATATAAAATATTTAAATACAGTATATGTATATGTGGTACCATTAAAGCATTACTAAATCTGTTCTGAAACACATTTTTTAATGTAGAAACACCATATGTTTTGCTTGCAGCACTGTCACTTACCATTAATTGTCAATTTCAGAAATGCTTTGATAGCTATAAACCAAGATAATTTTAAATCATTCTTTTGTAAATAGGTAGATATGAACTTTATGCGGAAGATTCCTATAGGGGCAGAAGCATCAAATGTGTTGGTGGGAGAAGTGGATTTTTTGGAGAGACCAATTATTGCTTTTATCAGGCTGTCCCCTGCTGTACTTCTCACAGGTCTCACAGAGGTTCCTGTTCCTACACGGTGAGGCAATATATAATAAAACAAAACTTGAGTCTTATTTGTGGGTTTTTGGTTTCTGTATGACTTGGTGCAGAAAAATCTTATTTTTTTCTGAAATAATGTATTTTTTATATTTCTTTATATTTTAAAATAAAAGCATACACGTTTTCTTCTTGCTACTAGTTGGGAATTCTCCAAATTCAAAGCTGTATTTGGTTATAGCATTTAATTTCTTTGTTCTATCATGTCTAAAACTGTTTGAATTTATATGTATTTTTTAAAATAAATATTCTACATTTTCTCTACATTTTGAACATATGTTTGTATCAATAATTGCATTTGAAGTTGCTAATAGTTTTAAAGAGGGTATCGTCTATCTTTGCCGTGCAATCTGCTTCATTCTTCTGCAGATTCCTTTTTCTGTTGTTGGGTCCAGCAGGCAAAGCACCTCAGTACCATGAAATTGGACGATCAATAGCAACACTTATGACTGATGATGTGAGTACTATATAAGTGATTTAATGAAACAGCAGCAATAATGACTAGACCAAATTCTGGACCACTAGTACAGTGCTTGTTTTATGCCATGTTGGGAGTTAAGGGTGACACAATATAGTTTTCTGTTCTCTTTTCTGTAGACCAAAATACTTCAATTTGTGCTCCTCCAGATGTTTTGAACCTCAGCTCCCACAATTCTTAACAGCCGTAAAACTGGCTGGGATTTCTGGGAGCTGAAGTCCAAAACACTTGGAGGAGTACAGTTTGAGAATCACTGCTGGGCGACATCTTCTAGATTAAATTGATTTGTTTCATGTCTTAATTTAATATGGAAGGTATGGTGGATTTCTTTAGATTACATTAATTGAATAGTGTTGATTATCTATTTGAAATGAGCTGCTTCAGAAAGAGGTGATATTAATAGTACAACCCCCAAGGGCTACTCTTGTCATCTTATAGGTCAGAACTAGCATATAACAGTAAAAGGTTGACAGTCATGTAATGTGGCAGTATGTTTGCTGATTTAACCAACTTTGATGGTTTGATTTGCATTGGCAATGCTGAGAGACTAAATTTTATAAAGCATTATTGATTCTTAATGGTCAAAATAGTATGAATTGGGTGGGCACCTAGAAGTCCTGGGGATAAATGTAACTCGTACGGATCTCATATGACCCTTAACATAATTTTAGAAGCCATGAGGCATACCTGACAGATAGCCCAGGTAGCCCCCAACTGAAACAGGTTTGCCAATCTCTAGAATAGATGAGATTGGAAAGCTCTGCACTTGAGTCTAAATTTCTACACTAGGACCCTACTGTGTGTAGTTCAAAAAATGGAAAAACAAAACCTGAAAATATTCTGACCAGTGTAGTCTGTGGTGTCACAGGAATCCATTTCTGAAAACTTTCCCTTTGGACTACTGCTATCTGGGCATCCAACTTTTGTGCTTTTAGAACTGTGGGAAGTTGGCTTTCTGCTGTAGGAACAACAGAACAGCGGGGTGTTCTTTCTATGACCTGCATTCTTTTTTATTTAAAATATTTTCCTCAGTACTAATGGTACTAATGTAGATATTGGACCTACACATATATAAATGCATGTAAGATTGCAGCCTTAATTTATCTTCCTTTTCTTCATCCAACCTTTAAGATTTTCAGAAACATTTACTAAAGTGTACTACATTCTTCATTTTGAACCTTTAAAATATATAAGTAATAATTCTGTGACCTCTTTTGCTGTGCAAGAAAGTCAGAGATAAGCTTGCATATGTGTTTTCTGTAGGTGTTCCATGACGTTGCTTATAAAGCCAAAGACCGAAATGATCTGTTATCTGGTGTAGATGAATTTTTAGATCAAGTGACTGTTCTACCTCCAGGAGAGTGGGATCCATCTATACGAATTGAGCCACCTAAAAGTGTTCCTTCTCAGGTAAGAGGACTTGGAAACAAAGGCCACCTTCAAAGATGTGTGCTTTAGTGGAATGTTACAGTGAAGGTTATTTGCTTGAAAATAAATATATGAAATAAAACAAGTACCATTAATCAACTGCGAAGAACAAAACCTTAGATTGGCATTTGAATCTTATTTCTGTAATCACGTGATGCGATTCTTAAATTGCTAGCAGTCACTAGGCCTAGAGTTTTCAGTAAGTCTTCAAGTGTGCACAGAAACCACTGCTTTCTAATCCTGTGGATCGATTTAAGCAAACATATTGTCACGCTGGTGTTGTCGAAATATAGTTGGTCTTGTCAATAGTGTTCTACTTATTCCATGGTACTACTAATAACATGGTACATGTTGCAATGGCTGTGAAGGTGAAAGAAGGCTGCAACAGATGAGAAGCCACCCTCATTATGTTAACCATACCACTGTATGTGCACCTCATTCTGTGAAGACTGTGTGTTGATAGGCTGTGCACTGACCTCCACACATAACAAAACCCAAGCACGGGCATCTTCCAAGAAAAAGAAAAAAACAACAAAAGTCCCATGGCGATCAGCAAGTGGTAATGAGGACAGGACTGTGAAATCTGGAATCCATAGGTAGTAGATATGGATTCAGTCATTCTCCCTCAAGGTTCAAGGCAGTTGAGTAGTCCGGCAGCTTTGTCCACAACTGAGCAGACCTTTTAAGGATCCACTCTGCTCACCCCATACAGGGAGGGGGCTAGAAAGCATAGTCTGCCTCTCTCATCCCTGACTGGACTGCCACATCCTACAGTTAATTAATAATAAAAAGAAAGCCTTCCAAATATGGCAGAGAGACACCAACTGTGCAGCTAAGAAAAATATCTACACCAGTGCAAAAGCTGAGGTCCAAAGAAGAACCAGAGAACTCAAGAACACCTGGTGGACAAAAAGGATTCAAGAAACCCAACACTTTGCAGATGTCCATGATGCACGGGAATTCTTCAATGCTAAAAAGGTCCAAGAAATCATGGCATACACTTCCTAAATTCATCAGATGGACCCAAACCCCTGAAGGATAAAATATAAATTGCACTACATTGGAAAGAGCACTATAATAACCTCCTGAACTGGAGCTCCAACATGGCCAAAGAGGTTCTCTCGCAAATCCTACAACATCAGGGCAGGGATGAGCTTGCAGCACTGCCTAGTTTGGAGGAAGTCAGCAAAGCCAACCAAAAAACAACAAAGCCTGCTGACCTGAAATCTTTCCCTGCTGAAATCTTTAAAGAGGGTGGTCCTGGAGAGACCAAGAACTGAGAAACTCTGGCCCTTGAGTGTTGTAATTGGAGGTCAGCTGTTACCAACAGTGCTGTGGAATTTGGAGAGGCATGAATGAAGGGTGAAAGGGAGAAATGTGTCAAGAGGAAGGTGTATCAAACCAACCCTGATTGGGACTGCCTTCCACCTTGAACTCAATGTCCTCACTGTGGAAGAACATGTGGATCAAGAATAGGTCTGTACGTTCACCTACAGACCCACTGCCAATACACTCCACTTGGAAGACAATCATACTTGGAGACGAGTGATCGCCAATGACTTATTCCAAAAGATAAAATATTTTATTTATTTATTATTTTAATTTAATTAACCAAATGATCCACAGAACACAGATTTTTGACTGAAAGGAGGGATGTGCCATTGATATTGTTTATTTCAGAGATGTGCAAATTATTGGTGCATTATGTGCTTTGAGATGAATCCTATTATTAGTCCGAACTAGACTAGATCAATTGAATCTGTGGAGAGATGTTATTTACCATGATTTTATTGGAATTGCTTCTAATGTGGAGACCAACATTAAAGGTTACATCTCATTTACGAACCAGCGAGGACTTTAAGATAATCTGGGGAGGCCCTGCTCTCGGTCCTGCCTTCATCACAAGTACGTCTGGTGGGGATGAGAGACAGGGCCTTCTTAGTGGTGGCCCCTCGGCTATGGAACACCCTTCCTAGGGAGATTAGATCAGCTCCCTTCCTCTTAATGTTTCGGAGGCAAGATAAAACATGGTTGTTTGAGCAAGTGTTTACAAATGCAGAGCAGCTAATATAGGAAATCGAATAACTTGACAATGGAACTGGACAATGCTTGATAATAAGGAGACACTAATGATATTGTTTTTATTGCTCTTGTTGTGCTTTATACTGTTTAATGTTTTAATCTGTATTATGTTTTTATGTGTACTGATTTGTTGGAAACCGCCTTGAGTCACTGATTGGTTGAGAAAGTAAATACAGTAAATAAATAAGTAAAATTTATCAACATAAATTTCAAATATAGGATTTTTTTAAAACTTGATTTTGCAGGAAAACAACATCAAATGATCCTCCCTATCCATGATAAGAGGACCTTGACATTATGCCTATCACTGTTGACGTTAATGCAAACCTCATTCATTTCATAATGCAGGAGAAAAGAAAGATTCCTAAATTTCCAAATGGAACTCCTTCTCCTGGAGAGTCTCTTAAAGAAGAAGGCCATCATGCTGGACCTGAACTACAGAGGACTGGAAGGTTTGTACTGTTTGTTGGAATTCTAGCAATCTGAAAGTAACAACCTAAATTATAAAGTTTAAAGGTATCATAATTACATATATGTATATGTATATATGTATGTAATTATGATACCTTTAAACTGTAAATAATATTCAAAGCTGGAAACATTGTAATGTGAATCAACTGATTCACATTGCAGTGAGAGCTTTGTCCATGTATAGCCTGGTTTACCATGAGTCGTGGCTTACCTCAAAGGATCTCTATGCTGGTGCACATAACCGGTTTGTTTCTGCTTGGCTTTTCTTTAACCATATGGCTAAAGAGACAAGACAAGTGCACAGAGTTCTGGCCAGTAGTATAATCCCAGCATAAGAAATCTTGGCTTGCTTGGAATTAACAGTTGTTGGAACTGAATATTTAGCCTAGGTGACTTGCTGAATGAACGATTTCTAATTTGTTCAACTACTTCATAGTAAGCCATGATTTTAAAAAAACAGTGGTATAACATTTCACATGAACATGGTTGATATGGTTGATTCTGGCAGTTAATGTGAAAAAGTATTTTTCTTTGAAATAAGAGTCTCAGGTAATGTGTACATGACTAGAGAAAATCTTCATTACTATAAGTACCAAAGTTGTAAATGCATAAAAAGCAAATATTGGGTGTAAAGTATTTTTCTGTTTGTTTGCACCTTGATTTAATAATGTATTGAGTTATCAATGAATTTCATAGAATATTGGCTGTTTTGTCCTAGTGTTCATCCAATTATACATAAAAATTCAGTTCGCTTTTATATATATATCTGTCTTTATGAAATTAAATTCTTAAATGAGTCTTATCTATTGAAAATGAATAGATTGAATTGGTATATTTACAGAATGTTTTTGCAGTAAGCTTGGAGTATATAAAATAAGGCTAATTTGTGCTAAACATTGCACTGTCAGTTTTGTGTATCCCATAGTTTTAAGCATTCTGGAGTCCTTTAGTGTACAGTTTGACGAGTTTCATCTCACCTATTTAGGCTATTTGGTGGTTTGATACTTGACATCAAAAGGAAAGCACCTTTTTTCTTGAGTGACATCAAGGATGCATTTAATCTGCAGTGCCTGGCCTCGATTCTTTTCCTATACTGTGCCTGTATGTCTCCTGTAATCACTTTTGGAGGGCTCCTTGGAGAAGCTACAGAAGGCAGAATAGTGAGTACAACGAATGGTAGTAGCCAGGCTTTTAGATTATCAGAGGCAAGTGACTGTGTTCATTTGTCTCCTTTATTTCTACCTGTATCCGAAGACCTTTAGCCACAGCTTTTGATTAGTCCTGCCACATAGTAGATGTTCCTAAGGTAATAACTGTTGTGGAAAATGTGGAGGACATGTATGTACAAGCAGGAGAAGATGCACAGTTAAGGTAAAAAAAAAATCCTAATGAACCTTTTCATGAACTGAGAAACAGCTTAAATTGTCATTATTTTGCAAAAGTTGAAAATGGTTTGGAAGAAGAAGTCCAGTATCAGAACAGGCTTACTTTGAATGTCTGCTTAATATTGTTGATATGGAGGTTATATGTAGTATAAAAGACTCATGAAAATTGTTTTGAGAAGGTTTACAATTAAGTACTTGGGGCTAAATAAATGTTGCACACATGGATGAAAGTAAATCCAGTACCTTTGTTAGAAAAAAGCTGTTTGAACATGGCACAGTTTGGAAAAGAGAAATGGAGGAGAAAGCATGCTTAGATCTTTCCCTGCTTGCAAATTTCCTGATACAATCCTACCAAAAGCACCTTTTCTCTCATCTTCCCCCTTTATAGTCATTCTAGACATGTATTTTCCAATTAAGGTGAGAGAATCAAATATAGGGTGGGGATGTGCATTACAGGAGTGATATGCAGGGAAAAGGTGAATCACTCTTTCCTATCCCTTCTCCTCTCCAAGCTGCCCTTACTACAATGGCTTTGCAATTTGCTCTTCAGTTATTTGATGCTCTTGAAAATAATTTTAAGTTAATTCTTATGAGATGAAATAAATAAGAGAAAGTTCACATTGCATCTTAACTGCTTTTTGTTGCCTTAATCATCATGAAGGTGGTAATTTAGAACATATTGGGTTTTTAAACAACTGAGTTAACAAGTCTTTAAAGTTCTTCAACTTGGGCTTTCTATGGAAATGGTACAGTCTAACATTTTATTGTATAATGAGCATGTATGATAAAATTGCAGGAAATGTTTGTTTGCATCTTAATACGTCAGCATGAATGAAATCCAATTGACTGAGATTCTCAAATGCCTTTTCACATGTATTCTAAATGTCAGCACTGCATAATAGCATAGGACTGTATGCTTCCACAAAGTATTACTACTTCATTTTGCCAGAGTTTATTTACATCCACACTGACACACACATACTTGAACACTTTTATATATTAAATTGTCTCAACTTTAAACACAACAACAAAATGAATACTTACAGTATACTTTACTTGCTTGTTGAAAAGTGTCTTTCAATAATACAGTACACTAAAGCAGATATTCATGCATATTTCAAGCAGCTGGTTAGAATGTTTACATTCTGTATATAATTTGAAAAAATGCCTTCTTTCTTCTAGCTGTCTGGGATTGTTTGCTGCCTTCAGTTACTTGGTGTGCATCAATGAATATGTTAAATTAGTTACTGCACACATATGTTCAAGCACAGTAACTGTCTTGTAAGGTACACGCTTGTGTTCACACTACTTCCCCACATCTCCAGAGTAATCCTGTCCTTTCCATCCTGCCTTGAGAACCCAAGGTTAATGCATTGATCAATTAAAAGGCTACCTTGCGGCTATTGTTTGAAATATTAGTTTGATTTTAAGTGCTATGGAATTCTGCAGGTTGTGGATCAGTTGTGACATAATTCTTCTCTAGGCATGTTTTCTTGAACATTGATGTTTCTTAGTGCTCATTATGGTTTGCCCTTTTATTCTCAAATATCTTGCCGTGAATTAGGGTCATTGAAAACAGGTTGCCTATCCGTGCATTTCTAAATTAATATTGATATTTTAAAACAAACTGCAACATAATTGTAAGTCTTCCCATTTCCTGTGAATGGGTTATATCACAGATGGTGTTTCTCTAAATGACTATTTTAATAAACTAGATTGACAATTATATCACAATGTAAAAGAGAAAATGCATTACCAGGTGGGATGATGGTATTTGGCTTCATTTATATCCTATGTTCATTTATTTCCTTTGTATGTGAAATCATCATTATTCTTTTGCACTCAGTCAGTTTCTGTGTTTCATTATAGGTTTGATTAATGAAGCTTTAATATAGTACGTCATACTCAAATGTGAAAAGCTTTTTTGCAACATCATTTCTTAATACAGGAGAAGACCCTTTGCGTTCCTTCTCCACCCCCTCCCCCAATTAATCAGATTTCATGCACTGCAGTGGTTGACATATGCTTTGTTTCCTTAGCCTGTCAAATGCATAATTACTTTCCATGGTTTTTGGAAAGCTTTACTTTGTTTAAGTAAAGCACTCCAAATGCTGATCATGATATTGCTAAGAATATAAAATATTCAAACTTTTACTGCTGTTTATAAATCAGTATTTCTAAAAATACAATGGTAATATTAATTATATGTTCAGTGAATAAAATATTTTTCTTTATTCCTTCAGAGTGCAATAGAGTCTTTATTTGGAGCATCATTAACTGGGATTGCCTATTCAGTTTTTGCTGGGCAACCTCTAACAATATTGGGAAGCACTGGACCAGTCCTTGTATTTGAAAAAATATTATTTAAATTCTGCAAGTAAGTATATTAATAAGAACTAAGCTTTGAATTATCTATGTAATTTGAAAAAGGTATCTTTATTGTAATGTTTATCCTTTATATATTTAATGTGCATAACAGTGTATATAGTTCCTAATAATTCTGCTATCCTCAACCTGAGGTCTCCCAAATTTGTTGGTTTATAAATTTTATAACCTCACAGCTAATGGGATTGTGGCCTTTACATTTGAAGACATGTGAGATGCACTAGGTTAGGGAAGATTAGTAATGAATATTGCCATTTACACTACTGAACCTAAAGATCCTTGCATGTTAAGAGTTGATCATTATGTTTCAAGATACATCATATGACTTCTAATGCTAATACTACAGGCAGGTGGAATGATTTTTTAAAATGCCACATGCTCTGTTTCCTGTTGCTATTTTCTTTTATTCAGCCACGAAGTTGTAAAGAACATGACACCTCATTTCATCACCAAGACTTTATTCGGGTTTACAGTAATGAAATTAAATCAATATGATATCAAAAAACAATAAAAGGCATGAAATAAACATTTTAAAAGAAATATATTACAGTACAAACTAGGAACAGGTAGAGTTAAAAGGCTTACATGCGTCAAAAGACATTAAAGTTTGCAGTGAAAAGGACAAACTTCACCTAACTGCCTAAAAATTGCAATAAGATTGAAAGAAAGGTCCCTTTTGACAATCTTAAAAAGCCAAGCAAGCTCATGCAACAACGACAGTGTGTGATGCTGGCTTCCTAGGAAATACTGATAAAAAGCCACATATTTGAAAGGCTTTGTCAAAAATATTCCCATGTTGTTATTACAAATGATGCTTTGAATGTTTATTTTATATTTTAAGCCATTAATTGATTGAATGCTTCTTTTTTAAAAATACAGGGATTATGGGCTTTCTTATCTCTCATTACGAACCAGCATTGGCCTGTGGACATCATTTTTATGCATATTGTTAGTAGCAACCGATGCTAGCAGCCTTGTGTGTTACATCACTCGATTTACGGAGGAGGCTTTTGCTGCTCTTATTTGCATAATATTTATATATGAAGCCCTGGAAAAGCTTTTTCACTTGGGAGAAGTATACCCTTTCAACATGCACAATGACCTCAATAAACTGACAATGTATTCGTAAGTTGGTTTTCTTGGTAAAATATGTGTGAGGGAATTGTCAAAATCTTTCTTTGATACTAAAAGCTTTAAGTAAGTGTGCTTACAATATAGGTCTTCACAAATGTTTATAGAAGCACATCAGGAACATTGTACTGTACCAAGAGCAGTATTTCATACATTGAAATTAACTTGAAGTTTTGGACCCCAACTCCCCTCTGCTCCATTTTGTAAGGCCAGTGATTAGAAACCTTGTAACTGCTGTCTTGAACATGTGGAGGGTCGTTTGGCGAGGAATTCCTTGGGGTAATAATCCTGATTTAAAGTGGTTCATTCTAGATTCTATATTAGCCCCAGTCAGACTTGTATGCTTAGTAAACATCAAGCATCTCCACAGCTAGAAGGAGCTCTCCTCTGTTGAAAATTGCCCTTTATGTATCGAGGTCAATGGGAGAATGACAAATGGAGGGGGGGGGGAGTTATACATATAATAATAACTCTATTTTTATACCCCTCCACATTGATATTCTTTTTAGAATTAATATTGTGGTTATTTCATTAAACTTCTTTGTTGCTGTGTTATATTCCTTTTTGCTATTCAGACAGACACATTAGCTCATAACAAAATATATGTAGTCATGATTTCTTCTGCAATCAAAATATGAGGATAAATGTTATGGAGATTTATAGCAGTATGATGGAACATTGAGTAATATTTGGACATTTTCAACTTGACAGATGTGTTTGTGCAGAGCCTCCAAATCCCAGCAATGAAACAATGATGGCATGGAAGAAAGCCAACAAAACTGTAGAGTCTATAGAATGGGCTAACCTCACAGTTAAGGTGAGCTCCGTGGAAGACAACAGAAAACCGGATATTCCAAAATCCAGTAGACAACAAATGAAACAATATTGCACAGCAATATTAATCCCTTCCTTTTTTTCTTCACATTGTTTGAGATTAGTATTACTAGTTTCAATTAATAACTATCTAATTTTTTTTTTTTTATCTTTATTTTTTGTCAATTTTTCTCATACATACAGAAAAGTGAGTGGGTTGAGGGTCTGTGTAGGGGTAGGTAGGGATAGGATTGGGTTCAAGAAAGGTGAGGGAGTTAGAGGGGCGTGAGGGGGGAGGGGTACCAGGAAAAGGAGGGGAGTTGCTTCCCGACAGTCCTCCAGAAGTCTTCATTTTTGGTTTTTGCTGTAATTTGAAGTCAGTATAGTCTGTTAATGGTGTCTTTACTTCATATGCAAGTCAGGTTGATTTGTAGTGGGAATCCCTTTGATTCAATAAAGTCTGTAAAGCCTGACCAATTTGTGCGTGTTTTTGTTCTTCTTAAGTTCTGAGATAGGCTATCCATTTGGACTATGTCCAGCACTTTGATATACCAGTCTTCTATAGTTGGAATTTCTCTCAGTTTCCATACTTTTGCAAGTAGGATTCTTGCAGCTGTGCTGAGAAGGAATATTATTTTTTCCTGATTTTCATTTAATTTTATATTAGAGATTCCTAGAAGGTACATTTCTGGTGTTTGAGTGAAACTTACTTTTAAGATTTTTTGCATTGCTTTGTGTACTTCTTTCCAGAATTTCTTTACCATTTTACAGGACCACCATTGATGGAAAAAGGTGCCTTTTTCTTTACCACACTTCCAGCATAGATTTGAGCCGTTTTTATTAAATTTAGCTATTTTTTCAGGTGTGAAATACCAACGGTAAAACATTTTAAACCAATTTTCTTTTAGGT